CCGTTCTCGTTCAAACCCGGGATCGATCAATAGGGGAGCCCCATTAAAAAAGCACATTGCAAATCATGCAAGTTCAACATTTTCAAACCAATATACTAAACAGAAATGCTCAGAGATGTAAATGAAGGATAGATATTACTTTTCACTATACACATCTCTGTTGATACTATCCCTCACATATTCTACTCCCAATTACTCCTGCGTAAAATGGACTAGCCTGTTCATGTTGACATTCAGACTAAAATCACGTGACAGGCTGTTAAAATTGGCTGTTGCATACTCTTTCGCCGGTCTGGAAAATGTGTTTAATTAACTCACATTCAAGCAACAATGCAGATTTCCCAGTGGGAGTGAGACTATTCAAACTCTGCCACTAAAAAATAGGGGTGTTTTCAGCAAAAAACGAATAACCCTGGAATACACACAATATACTGAATTTCGGAACAAATCGTGCATTACTTACAGCAGCAGAATACCACAGAAATATCAGACGAAACATGAAAACACTATATATTGTATTTCAGCCTGAACCCTCTATATTGCAATTCAAGGAATTAACCCCATATGTGCATCCATTTCCCACCTTGGTATCACCCACCCCTGAAAACAAACTCTTAATACCACGCTGAAGCGTTTGGTAACAACATCGTCTCTTCAGACTCTTGTCTTGTACGGTGGCGGTGAAAGCATTCTTGCAAGAAAACAGTGTTATGTTTTAAAGTACTTACCTGCTTAAACAGACGTGTTCTATTATTTATAATGCATGCTGAGCACCACGGACACGACTGTTTAGAAGATTATTTCAGAAAAATGTCAAAACAAATCGCATTCCGTATAACTATCACTGAGCGCAGCCATTTTTATTTGCAAAGGATCATGGGAACTTGAGAAACTTAGAATGAACCACGCCCACATAGCTACTGTGATCGTGTACGCCTCTATGCAAGGCAGGTCGACGTGTCAGTATGTTGTAATTACGTTCCATGTGGAATATCATCATAATACGTGATATATGAAAACACACCGTGATTCAAAAAGTACAACTAAGGTCAATCAACTGAGTAAAAACAATGATAACAGGCGGCAGCACGAAATTTTGCATGGACGATTCTACTCACCATCTCTCCTTTTCTAGGGGAGTCCGAGGGATGTTCCTCTTGAATTTTTTGCAAGACTGGCATTCTTCGGGCAACAATTTGTTCGGCGATGCGAAACGTGGTCGTAATGTCTTTATTTACTAGGGTCAAAAGCGACTATGGTCTAAACGTCCAGCCATTTTTTTTGCTACTTGTTTTTAAAAGATCGAGAGGAGTTTTTTTTGCTATCCCTATTGGGATGTATACCGTACGTTATGATCAGAGTTAGTCCTGACCGAGTCTTCGTTCAGTTTGCCGATACGTTCGAAAATATACGAAATACGCCGAACGAGATATATGTATTCGCTCGAGATGACTTTGTCTCCCGACCAAGATAAGCCTTATTTATAAAATTGTGGCATGTATACATTCTTCGCAGAGGAGGAAGCGGTCTGCTGACCATTCCTCGTGCCCCGTGCCACTGCTTCGGGTTCAAAATGTAGACGGCACTCTAAATCAGGTTGTGATTCGGACTTATAGCCGAAACTATCGTGATCATACATTTTGAACGGTGGTGGCGCAATTCGACGAATGCTACAGTCTATTGAATTGGTTGGGTTAGCCCGGAGACACGAAACAGAAATAGGTGGGGACAACAGTTTATGTTTTGTTTAATAAATGTTTCTTTAATAGTTCCATTATTTCAATAATTCGACATGATTGTTTTCACCAGCGTCACAGCATGTTTTCACTGGCAGCGTCACAGCATGTTTTCACTGGCAGCGTCACAGCATGTTTTCACCGGCAGCGATGTAAAACGACACATCTTTACCGTTACACAGTTACATGCTTGAACAATGTGCAGCAGTGTGTGATTGGAAATTAAACGGCCGTACTTATTGATAGTTGTACGCTTCAGTGGAGGACAGACTTGACTTAACACACAGGTGTACAATAAGTTGAAACGAAACAAGGTATTATGAAGCCGTTCTGACAACGTAACGCGAACGAACAATTCATGAAAATCACTGCGTTGCCCACAAGAAGAAGAAGAAGCGCAGATCCATCATCTGAGTTTTGAGTCTGAGAACCAATTTGCTAGTCCTTGACAAGTACGACTTTCATTTTCCACCCAGTCCACGGTAAGTTATTGACGACAATTGTAACAACATTTTTATGAATTAAAAAAACAGTTCTTTTCCTAAATAAATGTCATTAAGGTATTCTAAAAAGAAATCTAGCAGAGCGGTATACTATTGTTGCTACAAGCAGAAATATGGCTGGCATGGAAAATGAATGTTGGGTCACAGGCGTGCATAGATGAACTGCTATGAATTTGGAAGCCATACGCTATGTGTACACACCCTGTCACTAGAATTATATCTTAAAATTGCAAGAAATAATGTTTTAAACAGGCATTGATTTGTTTTCACAATTTAATATCAAGCGATATGTATATCAATCTCCTATATAAAAACAGGTTCTGCATATGTAGCCATGGTAACATGATTGAGAACGAGCTTCATTTTCATCTACAATGAGATAGTTACAAGGCCTTTAGAGAAATGTGTTTTCTAATACTAGTATACTACAGCCAATTAATGTCAACAAAAAACGTGAACCCTGTTATGGGATCGAGATCGTACTGTCGATATAATTATCATATAATCATCATGATCCAATTTCCCATTGTGTTACTTTATTCATGTAATGCTCACTCAAGTCGTTAATTATCGTTGTATTTGTACCTTTCTGTAAATGTTCATCACTAAAAGCTGAAGACCCAAAATGTACCATAATAATTAAATACATATTTAATTTAATATAATTCTGAAATCATGTTCCCTAATTATACATATAACGTTAATGGAGTCCTATATAATTTATATGTATCACGACAGTAATTAGTCCCAATGCACTTCATTTGAAATTCGTTTTTTTTTTTTTTTCATGAGTTAGTTTTCAGCTGTTCCCATAAACCCTAGAAATGGGTTCATGTTGTATAAGAATAATTTTAAAAGTAAAATTTAAAATCTAATTTGTTCTGAAATAATTACATATGATGGACACTGTTTTCGGGAACGCAAATTTAGACGAGCATTTGGCGGGTACAATTATTGTCGACTACGGCATAAACCTTTATATTAAACATGCAGACACAGTTAATTAAATAGACTCAACCTTACACTAATTTGAGTGAAGTTAGTTATAATCGTTAATCAGTTAACTTGAAACAAACTGTAATTATTTTTGGCAATTATCTCAACTGTTGTCATCATACTACCGTCGATGTTAACTACATTCATGTTACGGATATCTTTGCTTCCTTGCGGTAAAACGCTGTATGGAAAGTCTGTTCATTGGACATATGCCTCAAAAAATGGACACACTTGTTGTGTTTGTGCATGTTCACACATTGCGTAAAATACTTGATGGAATATTCATAGTTTAAAAACAATTTTAATGTTGATAATTAAACTTAGAAGAAACACCGTCAGTCATACGGCGTTTTTTTATCAACTTCTCGTGAAGTAAATCCAGCATTTAATCTCCTGTACTCCATTTTGGAGTGTATTCGCCATGTTTCGGTTGATTTTGGAGATCTTATGCCAACGGTAGTAGAATATCTGCAAAACATTATAATGTTAGTGGTATTGTCCACGCTAATACCACTTAATCCACTCTATTCATCGGGGATTGACATGCGAGCTCGCCAGCGTCGCCACAGCCCACATGCAATTTGAATGGCAATGTTGATAAATGGATTAGTTGTTCAAACGCGGGGTGTTTAACTTTCGGTGAGATTGCGGTTAGGTTTCTACTCGCGCCATGGAAACATGGAATGGCTATTCACTGTCACGCCAGAAACTAACATGGATCACCACAGAGACTTACTGAGGAGAAATAGCACGATTGTACGGAAGGAACATTTTTTCTCGTTTCTATGTCTTTTGTTTTCAGTGTGGAGCTGTCAACACAAGTAATTGTCAATAGACCGCACCAACCTACCGAGCCCTCAAAAATGGAATCGACCGTGTCACGGGGAGAGTACGGCACAATGAAAATAAAAAAAGCAAAAAAAAAATGACATCAGAATCTGTCAAAAATGAAATTTTGCAGATATCCGTATGCGAAGCATTATGTGACACGCGGAGAGTAAAAGGGACGGTGTTTGAAAAACAGAGATGATTCGACATGCCCTGTGCCGTTAGGAACGGTCGCCATGACAGCTAAATAAATTTACTATATAAGACGATTGCTGAAGGCGATCAATTCAGTTGACTCCACTCGCGTATACGAACTCTTTGCAGTCGACGTGAGGCATTCGAAACAGTATCCAGCTCAAGATTTACATCGATTTTGCTATTTTTTTTTTTATAAATCTTGGCCATGGTGAGTACATTTTACGTAAGTCATTAGTAAATTTGAATGAGGTCTACTTTGATGACTGTTTTTCTATGCAGCGTACGCTCCCCCCCAAAAAAATTATTTACATTTATTTTACAATGAAACATTTTTCATGGTGACATTTTATAAGTTAAATACAGACTCAAGAACGGTTAAACCTATAGTAAATCTACCAGCCAGAAACCGCCTGTTGATCCCATGTACAATCGAATCTAAATCACGATATTTCCATGGTGGCATTTTCAGCGTGAATGTCTATCCATACACTTGGGCCAAGCTGGTCTGCAGATGGGCAATGCCTGCTGGGAACTGTACTGCTTGGAACACGGTATCCAGCCCGATGGACAGATGCCCAGCGACAAGACAATTGGTGGAGGCGATGATTCCTTCAATACTTTCTTCTACGAGACCGGTGCGGGCAAACATGTTCCAAGAGCCGTGTTCGCTGACTTGGAGCCTACAGTCGTGGGTATGTACCTCATCATGATTGTATCTAATTATAATTACAAACCGTCGTGATCCGGTAAAAATTAGGCACAAATTATATTATTATAAACGCAAAAGTAGAGAAATCATTGATTGTATGACCCTGACATGAACCTAGTGATACTTCGTTTGTTGATAAAGGCACAAAGGCATCGTTCTCAAACAAATACGAGGCTCACTTGTTTTTTGCACCCGTATTAATATGTGATGCCGTAAATTGGGCACACTTAACTACTACAAATGTGTCAAGAGTGCGTTCGTGAGAAAGATGTTAAGATAACAGATACATCGAACTAAACGGGAGGGGGGGGGGTCGATTTAGTTAATGCCAAGACGCGTTGGTTTATTGGATAGCACGGATATTAATGTTGAAGTTAGTGAAATTCACAACAATAGTTGAGGATTTAGGAGCATCATTTGACGTAACTCGTCCATTGATATCCCCGTCTCTGCGTGCTCGTTACATTAAATAGCTCCACTAATTACCACAGTGAACATTCATTGAATACTAATAGTACAATGGTAGCGTTATGGCTATCCTACCAATGCCATAGCACGATGTCATCATCAAATACCATACATCGTGTTCTTTATCGTGTTTGTTCTTTGAACTGCAATTATTGACTCTAGACTGTTTGACTCCCGGGGCTACCTGTTGCCATTGGCTACCACCAACACATTTCTTATACATTCCCTCAAAGCAATAACATACAACCCTTTCAATGTACATGTATTCAAGTTTAACAATTGCAACCGAACATTTTTTAAGTTTTTAACACCCCGCGCGATTAAAGTGTTGTCCAATTCGAAAAAAAACAAACATGTCCTCCTGCACTCAAGTTGAAACGATAACGAATTAGTATTTTAAGCTGTATTCATCACGCCAGTTGCCCCAATAGATCACCAACTTGAAGGTAGGATTTAAATTGGGACGTTATTTTATTAAAGCCAATCCGACAAAATTTCACTCCGCAATTTAAATGTCTCGAAAGGAAATTGTAGCTACCTTTATCATGTGGAGACAGTGACGATGGTATATAAGTCCGAGCCGTTCACCGACAACTGGAACCGTAACAGTAGAGCTACACATACAAGCTCTGTATTTTCTATGCGTTAAATTATTTCACGTTTCACCGTGCAGAGAACTAATTAAATAACAATCCTTGATTTGACAGACGAGATCCGGACTGGCACATACCGCCAGCTTTTCCACCCGGAGCAGTTAATCTCAGGCAAGGAAGACGCTGCCAACAACTATGCTCGTGGTCACTACACGATCGGTAAAGAAGTCATCGACTTGGTACTGGACAGGATCCGAAAAGTGGTAAGTGAAATCATATCAGTTAATATTTATTAGTCTCGCGTAGTTGTTCTATTACAAGCAATTAAAATTTAAGGCGTCCACGAAATCGGGGTATTTTGAATCTGTATCAGAATTAGTTCTTGATATATGGGACCAGGGACCGGGATCAGGACTTGCGCAATTATTTCCCCGCTGACACAACACAAAGAGATCATAACAAATCGGAGATAGCGATATATACCAGTACTACACAGGGATTGATAATACCAGTAGGTAATCCTAATCCTTGTTAATAGGTGATTTTCCGAACAATTGCGAGATCTCGCGAGATGCATGAAAGACGCGCGTCGAACGTCTGCTGCAAAA